CTGGTCTGGTGGTACTCACCTGTGTGCTGATTTTCTGGAATGCAATTGAGGCTGCTGATGACCGAATCGACAAAATGATCCAAAGTAAAAGTTGGCATTAGAGCGGATGATGGTGTCTTCTTGGAACCTTTCTGCAGACTCCTTCGTGTCACATGGGACGGTGTGCGAACCCCAAGAGTGTTGTCACTCAAGATTGTTTCGAAAGATTCATAGCGGGAGAATGGTGTACAGTTGTGCTGTAGAGTGAACGAAATGTCTGGAAGCTATCTGTGAACACTTGACAGCTCTTCAATCATTGAGGATGACAAAGGGTAATCAGTACTCGTCACTTCTAATCAAACAAATGGTGATGCTATGTATGTCAGAGATGATCAAGAATGATACCCTGTTATTCGTCATCTTCACGAGAGTTTTAGTACTTTACAAGTTTACACCTTATATAAGCGTTTTACAGTTTGACAGGTTGTTGTTTTCCTTCAGGATTGGGTTCTTCTCCATCCGCAACCTTGCCACAGCCATAGTTTGTGATAGTATACAAGTGAAGCTCCGGTGACAAAATTTTCTGTCATTTGCAGCTCCGGTGACAGTTTTCTGTCATTTGAAGCTCCGGTGTTTATTTTCTGTCATTCGCAGCTTTCAGAAGGGGAGAAGGGTCATATGTGATTGGAGTCGGATGACTTCAGAAGCTGACTGGCTGGTTTCGGGACCTCTGTGGTGATTGATTTTGTGATGCTTGTGTGGACTGCGGTTGACCGTATCAGAACCAACGCTCAATAAGACCTAAGAAGATTGAGATGGGAACCAAGACACTGGATGAGACAAACCCATGGCTTCAGGTGAGTGGGGATGCCGACCTTTTCATTGGAGAAGGGGTTAACAGAGCCCCAAATTTTCAGCATTTTTTCATCGTCTTTACAACAGATTTGTCACGCCTTTTAAACCGAACTTGTCACCAATCCAAAGAGTGACACAGGGCACAAAAAAACAAAAAACTGAAAAACTGAAAAACTGAAAAAACTATCCTGTCCTGAAATGCCCTTTTCTGTGTTTGGGGGGCTATAACCTATGTGCTGAAATGTGGGGGTCCCTGTTAAGCACTTGTGTTGAATTGCTGATCTTCATCGACAGGGTAAACAAAACCCCCGATTCCTGGTGAGTTGGGGCGTACTCACACTAGGGCTTTCTAAATGCATGCGACCGTAATTACAACCGTCCCTGTGTGTATGTGGCTGCAATCACATCCACAGCTAGGAAGCAAGGATGTGAGTATGCCCTTAGCCAGTTGGCCATTTTCCAGATCACATACAAATTGCGGTGGTTGGCTTATGATGCCACCGTCGTCTGAGCAGAGCATCTGTAAAAATGTATCTTCTGAGTGTGGACCGCTCTCAGTCAGCCATGTCCTGTGCGGCGGGTAACTTCTTGGGACATCCGCTAAAATTGGAATGATACCTGAGAATACTAGCATAGCCCCTGCACAAGGATGACGTGCATAAATCGAGAAATGGTCCAAGACTAAGTTTAAAACCACCACCACCTCCGAGCCCTTTTTCGCTGACCCTGATTTTCACTGCGCGCCGACTTTTGCTGAGCCTGGGTCCCGTTCTGTTCTTTTTTTTCTGGTACTCCTGGGGGAAAAAAAGAACTCCACGTCGCATCTTCGATTAAAAAAAAAAAAAAAAAAAAAGAGAAACAACCATTCGGACGTAATAGGAGGTGGATACAGAAAGTACAGTACTTGTGTGAGTGTGCCCTCAGAGAGGGTGTTACGGAGGCACAATCAAGTCCAAGACATATGGAAGGGACGAAAAAAAAAAAAAGAAGAAACTGTATCGAGGACGGGTGCATTATCAATAGTAGTCTTTACTAGCATGCCCTCCGTGACAGACTGTCAGCATCCTGTAGAAAGAGCTCTGCCTCGGCGGCAGGGCAGTGTAACGAAGAAGAAAAAAACCACCACCATGAAGGTGCAGGCCAACGCAGCAGCACATATTCCCTCTGCCAAAGGCATGACATGTATCTGGATGATTACGCAGTCCAGTTGAAAAATGGGCCCCTTGGATGTCAGAAATAACATTTCTTCTCCGGGTTTGCACTAGGATTCTTTTGGTTAATCCGGTTTTCTAGGCTTGTTTCGGATTTATTTAATCACCAGTATTTCGGACCCTCTCTTTCCTGGGGCTGATTTCCGCCGTGTGCCGTGTGCCGTCTTTCGCCCAATCGGTGCAGGCGTGAAATTATTGGTTATGGCTAGCATGCACAGCCATTTTGATTGGGCAGGCCGAGCCTCGAAAGCTGTAGTGCATCAATGGCTGCGTCGAAGAAATTTGCCTGGCAGATGTACCGGTGGTCTTAACCTTGTATGGCCTGAGCTTTTGTGACTGTTTGGATCTGTGCTGATTACATTGTACGTCAGAAAGCAGCTGACATGTAAGAAGCGGGTCAGAAAGCGGCCTACTTGGAAATGAAAGGGCGGTGTTAAAGCAGCTGTCATGTAAATGAAAGGAAAGTAGTAAAATAAAAGAAGCTGACATTTAAGTGAGAGGATAGTATGAGGAGTATCTAGTGAAAGGTCCAACGGGGGGGGTATTAAGTCAGGGTGGGGGGCCCACCAATGCTATTTTCTGTCTTCAATGTGTATGAATGTGCTCGCAGGAGTTGAGCAAGTTCATGACATGCCAGAGTAATAATAGCACTAGTGGGGTCTTGTACCAATCAACATGATAAATTAGAAGATGTTAGAATAATCATAGCACCAGTGGGGGCGCATTTCATCCATGGTCAGAAAGCAGGAATCTAGTGTTGAGAATGACCAGGTTCATGATAAGTTAGCAAACATAGCACCAGTGGGGCCTGGCCCTACTGCCGCGGCAATCAAGTATAAGACAGTCAGTGCTTGAAATGAAAGGAAAAATACTTGCACCACCGATCCCTGCCTTTGAAGTAGGAATGTGGCCCCAAGACTGACCAGGTTCATGACAAGTTACAGCAAACATAGCACCAGTGGTGCCTGGGCCTTCGGCTGCAACAATCAGGTGTAAGGCCCCCAGCACTTTTGTTTCAAACGAAAGGAGAAAAAAATGGTGCCACCGAGAATAGGAGGGTCGAGAGCTCTGAGAGGTACATGGACCTACTGTTTTCCCCTGAAAACACTGCCCCCTCATGATGGCTGTACCTAACCAGAAAGATAGCTTATATGCGTTCATTATCAGGGTGTGTTATGTCTACGGGGAGACGGTAGCAAGACTCTGTTTGAGGTTCTGAGGGCCTGCTGTTCTGTAACGTTGATGTTGTGTGTGCTTCCTGCGTTGCCATCATTCCACTGGACAACCTATCACAGCAGAAAACAGTTAACGGGCGATGTTTTCTGGATTCCTCTTGGCCCCAGAAATTTCAGACGGCGAAAAAAACTTCAAACAACAAAAACAACAACACAACCTTATGTAGATAGTGCAACAAACGAAAAAGGATTGAAAACCATTGTGAATACCATTTCTGCACCTCAAGTTGGTTAGATCCTTCTATGATTGCAACGACGTGTTGATTGATATGTCTGTCATGTGAAATGTCATCGAACCATTGATCGTTGACTGCTGGCCTTCCCAGTGCGAACTGCCCCCCTCCTGACTTCTGTGGGAGAGGAACAGGATCGTATCTCAGCTGTTCAAGAATCCATTCAGCAACATGGGAGCATCTGGTCTGACAAATGCTGCTATCGCCCCCCGACTGTGGAGATCGTACTTGCCCAGCAAAATACTGGTGCTGGTAAGGGTGGGTGGAATTTGTCGTAGCCAGCCCTCTACGCTGTGGGCACGTGTTTTGCGCCTGCTTGAGGATGACATTCATCATGCTCTGTGGAGATGTGACAGTGGACGTCTCATGATGCCCTTACGCAGGCGTAGTCAGGGTTGGATCTTTTGGCCTCTTGCTGACAACTCGTCGGCAGGCTCTCGATTTCCTGTGGCAGAAAAACGAGGCCAGGTCTGCTAGAGCATTTCTGTCTTGGATGCACGTGAGGCTCTTCATATTAGAAGAGGCATAAACTCTCTGCACTACTGACTCAATCGAACATCTTCTGTCAGCACTCCGGAGCCCTTGGCATTGACGCGGAGGATACCTTTCTTTCTTGTGTTTCATTTTTTTCTCGACTTTCGTCGGATGCCTTCTTGTTTGATTTACTGATTTTATTGCTGCGCAGGAGTCGTTCTAATTATTCCAGTGGTCTTCGGTTGTCTCAAGAGCACTTTTTGACACTAGTGCTCTTTTCTTCAGACAATGAGTGCCAAGCGTTTCCTGGCGTGGGCGTGTCATCCCTGCATGGGGGCCATGCTGTGTTTGCAGCGTTGTTCCCTTTGCGTTGCAGTGAAGAAAAAAAGGTCGTATGGACTATTGTGTCCTCAGCTCTGCACAATATGGTTGTATCACAGGCTGCACCAACTGGTTCTTCGAACCCTCCCATACTTGTGAATGTACAGCCATCATTGTGGAAGTGACTTGTCCTTGGGACATCCATTGAAACTTTGAAATATGCTCGAGGTCCACTGTGCTTGGCCAGGAAAGGCTACTTGCCCCGATTGTACTTGGGTGAACAGTTTGTCGTTATGTGGGACATGACAAGATATGAACCCTGTAGTTTTTTTTGTTTTTTTTTTCTCTTTAGCTGAACCCTGCAGTTACTAATTTGTAGTCGTTTGTAGGATGGTTTCTGTTTGCCGCTGCCCACGGTGCCCACGGTGCCCACGGTGTTTGCATCCTTGCAAATGCTTGAGGTCACTCGTGCTTGGTCAGGAAAGGCTATGTGCCCCGATTGTCCTTGGGCGGACTGTTTGTCATTATGCGAGACATGACAACCGCTGAACCCTGTAGTTGTTGTTTTTTTTCAATCCTGTAGTTTGTAGTTTTTTCTAGAATGGTTTTTGTTTGCCGCTGCCCACGGTGAGGCCGCAGTCTACCATCAGGGAAATATTCAAGAGACCAAAACACTTCTTGGGTGGTCTTGCCTTTGCGTGCACTGACCTGTCAAGCTCTGGTCATAGCTGCACCTCGAGCGGTGGTGGAAGGTGTGAATCTTCTTGGCACTTTGTGGAGGGCACAGAGGAGATCGCATGCAGCCACCACTGTCCAGCACCTCACTGCCAGCTGGCACCGGAGAACATTAGGTTGCTAAGGCCGGCCACCTGTGCAGTCAGTGCTACCGTCTTCGCCCAAATAGAAAGCCCCATCAGTATCGCCATATCTAGACTGAAAAGTTCTGCAAGTGCAGCTCTAACGGTCGTACGTTTTGTTCAGAGCGATAGGTCATGTGTGATTCAGGGCTCCGACTGGTCCTGTCTGTCAGGTGCTGTTGCCCACAGCCCACTGTCAGGGTGGGTTTGGGAGATGCGGTGCGGAGTGCAAGTCATCCTACTTGGATAATTGATGTTTCCCCTGCCTACCCTAGCTTTGGTAATTTCCTAAGTTTGTGTTGTCAATTCCCTGGCCTTCTCAAGTTCCCACGTTTTCTAAAGCTTTTTCCATGCTGCTTGCAGTGCTCTGCTGGGAGGATAGATAACCCTAAGTTCGTCAGTTGCGGACGAGCCCCCTCAGCTTGGCTCTGGAGGGTGTCTGCTCACCGGCAATTTTTTTTTTCTGAATTGCTTGTATTTGCCCACAGTTTTCTTAATTGCTTGCATTTGCCCACAGTTTTCTTATACATCTGATTCTTGTTTTGCTCAGGGAACGGCTGTGGACATGAAGAAGTCGAAGTCGATAGCACAACCAAGGAAGTCAGAGACAAAGAAGAAGCAGAAGAGCAAGGACAAGGATGATGATTCCAAGAAGCAGAAGCCCAAGGAAAAGGACGAGGATTCGAAGAAATGAGGTGTATGTGTGTGTGTACGGAGAGAGAGAGAGAGAGAGAGAGAGAGAGAGAGAGAGAGAGAGAGAGAGAGAGAGAGAGAGAGAGAGAGAGAGAGAGAGAGAGATGGTTTAAGGATACGGAGAGAGCAGTTCATACTGGGACCACTGGTTGAGTCTCAAGGCCAGAATGGCTAGATTGGAGAAGGCATCCTTCTCTAGGGTGTTCTGGGAGGAAAGGATGGTCCTAGAGCAGGGAGCACAGGGCAGTGCCTTATGGATTTTCTCAGATTAGTGAGCAGCAGACGACAGTGCCTGACAAAGCTGAACGTCTGCCTTCGCGGTGCTGTGTTGTTCTGTCTTTCTGTTTTTGCCGTTGCCAGTTTTGTTAATGCTATCCATCAGCAGCATGCTGATTCATTGCATGTTGCTGATTTGTTTTGCTTCACAGGTTGCCTTTTCTTGTTCTTTTGTTCCGCAGTTGGTGATTGGTGAGTGGTGTTGTGGTTTTCATCTTCCCTTTATGGATGCAAAAATATCAAGCACGAGGTAAATCCGATAGGCCGACCGACGAGTTGATGAATTATTGTCATGCAGCTTCGTTCTGGGAGAGCAGACGTACAAGTAAAATCAGGAGCCTGCCGCATTGACTCAAATACTGAAAGGTAGGTGGAGTGTTTGAAGTTGCTTTTGCATCAAGGTACCTAGAGTTTGTCTTTTGTTCAGAAATCAGTCTTTCGATCTCTTTTTTTTTTTTTAATGCTTTCAACCGCACAACAACATCAGGAAGCGGCAGCCGATGAAAGGTGGCCACTGAACAATACCTTCCCTTCCTCTGCGAAAGATGTAGCTAAGGTATTACCCCAAGCACTGAAACATCCGCAACAGTTGGGCGATGTCGGCAGCACAATGAAGAGAATTGTTGGATGCCAATGGTGAGTAGTGGCGGAGTAGGTTGTTGGAAAATGTGTTTGTCAAATTATCCGCATTCGTCTTTTTTTTTTTTTTTCCCAAGTTAAAAGGTAAAACAGGTTTAGTGGTATTTCAGTTGTCTGTTTCAGGAGTCATGAAGGTTAGCAATTGGCTGGATTCAACGTTCAGCGGCTTCAGCCATACGTATATCCTTTAACAACTCTCTTCATTGTTTTGGGTGCACACGTCGTTTTTGTCGGCCTTGTTTTCAGTTGCGGCTCATTCGTGCGCACACGTTGTTTTCGTCAGCCTTGTTTCTCGACTTTTATCGAATTGCTCTCCGCGTCCTCGTATACGACTGCCTCCTCTTCACTGTTTGAACACGGGGAACAACCTAGTCGCGCTTAACCCTCTGTGAGAACTGCACGGTAGCACGGATTGTGCATCAGTAATATGTATGCTCTTATCTACTAGCCCAGGCAAGCTTGTTGAGCGATGTTGAATTGTGGAAGTGATGGGAATGCACGCATGAGGGCAAAGTAAAACCCCTCTTACCTACGAGCAAGGCACAGGTGGAAGAGCGTTCCTGATGATTGCAGAAGGTTCCAGGCAATTACATCACACAGTTTTCGTCTTCCTAGCAGACTCTACTACTGTCAGTGCATTCAGGCATATAGCACAAGAGGCTGCCAACCATTTGTGCGGGGAGGTCCTCTATGCATCTCAGCGAGTTCAGCAGCCGAACGATTATGTGAGTGTGCTGTGTAGGAGGGGTCCGAGCTCGCTCCTTAGTCGGGCTTAGCTGTCAAGTGAGAGTGCAGTGTGCACAGAGGCAGGTAAATTAGGAGGCGGCGTGGGTTCCACCTGTGCTCAGTTTTATATAGTAGTTGGGA